TTTTATGGTTATAAAAATAATTATGGACATATATATAATATTACTCATGTTTTATGATGAGAATTTTGTAATCCTATTGACGACATGTAAGTATATCGATATAAAAATAAATTTCATGAGCATATTTATCGTGTGATATTTGGGGTGACTACATCGCAGCATAGTGTATAGTGCAACAAAACACAAATATTATATATTTCATAGTAAGTACTATATTTATCATGTAATAAAATGTTGTTCTTCTAATTAACATAATACATTAGCGTAGAACAGAAATAATAAAGTTCATATAGATGAGAGAATAGGGTAGTGTTCAAGTAACACTTCTACAACATTGGACTGATTATGAAAAACATGAAATTTGTTACTGTAAACTTATTTTAAATTTAATCTTCCATGAGTTTATAAAATACCTATTATTTATGCCATGTATACATCTATTTTGTTTCTGGAGATACTAATGTGAAAATTTATTATATAAAGTAATATGTAACTACAAAATATATATGTACCATAGGATATTACATAATTTATGTTACCAAAATAATGATAAAATATTTTCATTTAATATATTACTAATGACATAGGTTCTATAAATGTAGTCATAATTAATGGAATCATTGTTTTATATGAAAACGGAAATAAGTGAATAAAAAGGATATTCTTGTATAATATTTAAAAAAAAAATTATTAAAAGATATGATGATTGAATAACTAAAACATTTATTGCGCTTCAGAAAAGTAAATTATAAATCAAATTAATAATATATTACTAAATAAAAAATAGTAAGAGGCTCAGAATCGATGAAAAATACTGGTATATATAAGTAAAAGAAGTTATTTATAGATTAAAAAATTTGTAAAATTTCTCTTTAGAAATATACTACAGCTCTAATATATTATATGCATATATAATGAGAGTACAAAAAATTTTTCTAAAAATTTAATAACACTAAAAGGCATAAAACAATTGTGAAATTAAAATTTTTTTAAAATAAATTAAAACATAATGTAGATATATATTATTCTTTTTAATATATATTAAAAATTATATATAACCCTCAAAAAATATAATATTTTTTTTTATATATTATTTAGTATTCAATGATTGTAATAGACATAACACACAGATTACATGTTTTCATATTAGTATAATAGAACACAGCATTTATAATGTTTCAACTTTTTTCACTATTATATAAATATATCTCTGTTACAATATATTTTGATATATATAACATTTAATTACATAAACATCATTTTTTATTTATACTACTAAATTACTACTTCCGGTATTAATAAAGCAAGAAGAAATTAATAATTATTATATACATGTACAGGACCTAACATAATTTCTAATATCTACAACATTATTTATTAAAAAAAGTTCAAAAAATGAAAATTTTCTTTATTTTTATATCTACATGAAACTACATCACGTATGGAAATATATAATTGTACGTTACCTATAGCGATAGTATTTACAACTGAACACAATAGAAATCTAAATAATATTATTTTGTACGAATAAAAAAAAACAAAATGTTTTTTTTTCTCTGAATTATTTATTGATGTTTTTTCATATATATTTTTTCATTATATTAAAATGATTATATATATAAGTATACATGTCTTTTTATAAATGTTTTTAATGCAATTTATTTTATACTAATTTTTGAAAATCTTGTTTTACATATTCTTCATGTAAATGAGTTATATTTTATGCATTAAAAATTTATTATTTTTGATAATAAAATTTTTTATCTTATATATATTCATATTAACTTATTATTCAAAATTCAATATATATCTTAAGATATTAATTAATTTTTTGTGATGCCGTTATATTACTAAGTTCACAATAGAATATATTATTATAGGAAAAATAAAGGAGTTACCTAAAGAGATATAATTATGTTGAATCGAATGTTTAAAAAAAAATTATGTGAACTCAGAATACAACGTAAAATATTTTAATAATAAATATCATGATATATTCCACTAAAAATATTTGTTTTTATATATAAATTATTATTTCTTACTAATGATAATTTATGACATAAATATAAATTTAGTTTTTAATTACTTTGACAGGAAAATATTCATTATTTTTTTGAAAAATAAAGAGTAAATTTTTTTATTCCAGTGTATTTTAGTCAAAATAATTAAAGCAGTTCATATGAAGTATTATAATTCATTGTGTAACATATTTATTTTTGACATAAATTTTTAAAGCACATTCTATTTTAAATAATCATTTTAAATCACGTATTAAATGAATGATAAAAAGTAATATATATTAAAACAAACATGTTAATAGTGATAATACATATTAATTATTGTTTTTTTTTTTTTTATTTAACCAGTGTGATATATGTTACATATTTTTTTTTTTAGCTATACATTAAAGCTAATAATATTTTATATGTTAATATAAATTTAAATGATATAATGCTTGAAAATGGAAAAAAAAATATAATATAAACTACAAAATATACTTTATTTTAGAACAATTTCTTAAATTAAAAATGACTTATAAGTCTTATTAAATATTTCGTGCTTTGTGTACTATAACAGTAGTACTCTATTAAATTATTATAATATAAGTTATAATAAATCTTTAGATATATAAATCTTGTACACACATTTCATATAATTAAGACTTATAGTGTTATAAAAATTTCACTAAAATAATATTTTGTCATACATTATAATTATTCTTAATATATATAAATGTCATATGTGTATATATTCATGTAAAATTATATTTCATCATTAGATCATGTAAATAGATGTATTAAATTTAACACTTATTATGTATTACATGTAAAATCTTACAGTATATTTTAAGAAACACAACTAATATTTTTGTTATCAATAAAAAAATTATCACAGCCGTAACCCTAGCCAAATGCTTCATTAGAATTTTTTTTTTCTTATTTTGTTATTGATTCTTAGGAATAATGTGAAATAATAAGGTATAACAAAATGAATACTTAGTTATTTGATGTAACTCTTTTTCAGCAACATATATGAAAAAATCATGCCATTTTTATATAACTATTTTTTTTTTATATTACTTAAAACGAACAGCTATTTATATACAAGAATAATATGTAATATCTTGAGCTTTATTTCACCATTAATTTACTATATAATGTGAAGAAAATAAAAATATATATTTGTATATATGAGAAAATATACTCTCATATAGAAATTTTATTATAAAAACGTTTATACTTTTTATAAAATTTTATGTCTTCTTTATTTTATTCACTTTTCCATTTTGGTGAAAATGTATGTTGAATTTTCCTAACATAATAAGTTTTATAAATAATTCGTTGTAAATGATCGTTTTATTTTGATGATATTATAATGTTTAAAATTATATTTACTAGATGGATCTAAATTTATACTTTGCTATATATTATATAATGTATAACATCTTGAAAGTAAAAAAGGAAAGAATATATTTATACATATTTTGTGAAATATATAAATTGTGTAATAATATAATTATTATTAAAAAAATATTAACGTAATAAACATTATTAATATTACATGAAATACATTATATTCATTTTCCATTCTGTTCAATTTAATTGATTTTACATTAAAGATGTGAAATAATCATGTATTTGTCTCCAACAAAAAATATAGTTATTCAAAAATAATGTACAATAATAGCCAGCTAAATAAATATAATTCATAAGAAAATATTCCTGAATACGATAAAATTGCTTAGTCTAAAATATTCATTATTGAATATATTAATAAGAGTATTCATAAAATGTTTTTTCACTGATTATATGTGTTATGTTATATAAAATATGCTTAATTAATGATATTCAAACGTGTGCACAATTATTTTATATAGTTCGAAAAAAAATATATGTAGTATCAACAAAATTATTAAATAATAAGACAAATAAATATATATGTAAGATTTATTGCTACGCATTATTGCAATATATCCTTTGAAAAATAATGTCTAATTTTCATACAATTATTTATATCTTACTATGTAAACGTATTAATATATTAATTTTTAAATATTTTTACACATATATTAAGATTAATTATAAAGTGCACATGTAATTCTCTTGCATATCTTATGATAATTTATTTATAAATGTATATATCAAAACATAATTTATTTTTTCATTAAATAAATGACAGAAGATGCACTGGACATAACTATACTAAGCAGGATTGTTCGTTTTTTTATACTTTTGAATTAAACAATATGATGTATAAAAACACTTAATAAATTTTAATAATACATTGCAATTGTAGAATATAGTTTTATTAATATAAATTTGATATATTTTTTCTTTGACATCAGTATCCATTTTTAAGAAAAACATGGAAATTATTTGAAGACCTTGATGAAACAGTGGAAACTAGATTAGAAAATGTAATATATCAAAATATATGCACGCCAGTTACTGTTATATTAAGATTACATGATAAAAAGTACACTGATTTTTGCAAGAAACTTATAAGAAATTATAATCTACTTTGTAATAATCCAAGTGAATGCAAAATTAATCCTAGCTATTGTAAGGACTTGAACAATTGGTTGTATTATTATATAAAAAAAGAAAACCTCGATGGAGAGATTTTTAATAATTTTTTCAATTATATTATAAGTTACTCGAAAATGTATGCTCCCGAAAACAAAATGTGCTTATATTCATACGATACAAATTATATAGAACCGCTTAAAGTTCTAATGCTAAACATCTTTGAATCTAATATAAGTGAAATTAAGGTAGTATTAGAAGGTCCGCATGATATAATGAAATGTTATTGTCAAGAATTTGTCAAGAAGATGGTACAAATATATAGAAGTATGAATTCTGAGTATTGCAGTAATGGCAATGAAACAAAAGATAAAAATATGAGAATTTGTTCTGTTTTAAGAACTTTTAGTAGTTTGTACACAATATATCTTTATAATAAAGAATCTATGAAAAGTATATTACCCTCATTAACATCTGAAAATAATATAGAATTTATTAGTTGTGAATCGAGTGTTGAAGAAAAAAAATTACAATTAGAAAATGAAATATCAACATTAACTCAGATTGACACAAAAAATAAACACCAGGAATTTGAGTATCATAGCTCAAATATAACTATAATAAATATTTTACCAACATTTCTATCAATAATTGGTGGATTATCCTTTTTTTTTATGTTATCCTATAAGGTTCATATAATGCATGTTGAAAAATATGAACAAATGATGCAAACAACATTTTGCATCATGTATCCCTAAACACTAATAAATATATATATAATATTTATAAATATAAAAAATTATTATTACCTATTTTATTAGTTTACACCAATTGGTAACATCTTTCGCTCCAAGAAAAGAGTAAAAAAAGTAAAAAGTATATATGATGGAGTTGAGCAAAAAGAATTATTATACCATACACAAGATAATGAAAACATTAATTCATATAATCATAGATATGACATAGCATATGCAAAATTATAAAAATAATATTTCTACTGTAAAGATAAAAAAATATTTGTTATTATAATTCTTATTAACCCCTTAAATATTATTAAATTGCCATTCAGGAAAGGAAAAGCAACTACCAAAGATGATAGGACATTAAAAATAAAAAATATAAATATTATTAAAATTAAACAGACAGTAATAATATATTTTTAAATTCAGTGTAATTATAGAAAATAATTATATTTATATAAGTTAAAGAAGTAATTTTATTTTGTATATAACTTATTTTTCATAAAAAAAAAAATTAAAAACGAAAATTATTTGAATAATACCAAATATAATGAAATTAATAAATGTGAAGTATATCAAAAAAAAAATTTACATGATAAAATAAAAATATTTTTGTGTAAATATAATAAATATCATCTAAATATAACATGTTTTTATGAAATTCAGATAAATCCAACACATATATGTGTATACTATACATAATGTCAATTTTTTAATTCCTTAATGTAACCTCAATAGTGTCTATTATAATAAAAATAGATTTTATAATAAATAAGCAGATAAAACCACGTATCTATTGTGTTAATCTATAATACTGAGGACTAGTGTTCTTCTTATTATATATAGTTTTTTTTTTTTTTGTTCTCCATGATGAAACTAATATTTTACAACCAACATTATATTAATATATAAAGGAACACAATTAACAGTGTTTTATAATATCTCATTATAAAAATTAAACATAGATGCTAAAAGATAAAGAAGTATATATTTCAATTATATATGCATATTAATCTCATAATTTGTGAATGCTTGAATCATTATAATAATATATAAATTATTATTTAATACATTTAACTTATTCTTATACGCTTTCATTTTTGCATTTCTTCATACACCCTTATTAAACAATTTTTTTTGTGCAAACTGTTATAAGGTTTATATATATATTATTATATTTATTTATTCTAGCTTGCAATTGCTTTGAAAGAACCGACTTATGTAAATAATACTTATATGTACTTATTAAATAGTATAATTAGTAATCTTCACTTAATTCTAAAAAATTATAATCATACGTGTAATTATCTTTGCAGTATACATCTCATTAAATTTTAATATATTTGAATAACTCTATAATAAGTTGTAATTTTTTCATCGATTCCTAAATTAACAAGTAACTATAGAAAAATATTATGAAATACCTCTTGTTTTCTCACTTTAAATATAGTAATATATTGAACACGAGCAGTATAACTAAAAATATATTTAGTATCTTATTAAAGAATCCAAGTGTATATAAATCGTGATTTATTTAAAAATATATTATAATAATTATTAAATTAATTAAACAAAATATTTAAGAAAATAAGAAAGTGCAAAGAAATATTTATCCATTTTTTATAATTAGAAAAATGAATATATGAGTTGTGTGATTTTTACTATGAAAAAGTATATATTAGTTAACCAGGTGATTCTGGTTTTTATATGCCAACATCGTTCTCCCTAGAATAAATCATATAAAAAATGATGAAAATTTTATAGAAAAAATAAATTCATAAGAATTATAAAAATTATTCATTATTTCTCCTTCATTACTTTTTTACTAATGTGTGCCTTCTTTACTAGTATAAGTGCTACGAATATTTATAAAAATATGGAAAAAAATTAGAGCTCTTACCTTAACATGCAATTATAATAAATTATTAAAAGCACATCTACAACAGTATTATAATCTTATTATATATTTTTATACATTATGTTTTATAATAATAATGCATTTATATTTTGATTATCCTAAAAACATTATATTACACAATGCATTAATTATATATTCCTTTAATATATCATTTCCTGCTTTGTTACATCAAATTAATTAATAGATTATAATTTTCCAACTTCTATTACATTTATTTTTTGTTTAAAATTTAATAATTTTATCATATTAATATCAGATATATGTTAAATATTGTATATTCTGATAATTCGAAAATTTATATACGTACTAATGAAAATAAAAGAAAAACGTATAGATATTTTGTGCATAATAAAAATAGAGGTAAATCTAATACAAAAATATTGCTTAAAAATATATTTTTAATAGAACATGAATTTTATAAAAATTTAACCCCAATATGTATATGATATATTGAATTATTCCTTAAAGCGTGTCAACATTTCAGTTCCATATATAAAATATTTAAAATGTTGACAAATATATATGTTGTTCTTAAAAAAAAGGAGAAAATTATAATTTTTGATTGTGCATTAAAGCTATGTTTATAATTATATAATTACATAAATTCCTACAAAAGCTTATGTTCATAGGAAAATTTACTTTATCATATTTTATCTTCCCTAAAAAGTTCACATCATACAATAAAAAATAAATAAAAACGATTAATAGGTGAACTTATGAAAATTAAAATGGACTAACTATTATAAAAATAGCACAAAATTTGAATTGAAATGTTCATTGATATAATTTTTTATGATATAATCTAATGTATCAAAGTATATTCGTATAAATCCTTATTTTGAATATTCATATATGTTATATAATTAAAACAATATTCCTACATGTTATTAATAATGCATTGATAAAAATATTTTTTGGAGATATAAATAAATATCAATTGTGTGTCTTAAATAACGAAATGATAAATTAATAAGATTTAAATGAATATAAATCTTAATAACCCTAGCGAATCAAAATATATGAAATACATAATCTGTTAATACACAATGTAAATATAATTAGGTCATAACTGTTATAGATTATTGTGCTAATAATTACATACTAAATAAATATTTTCAATTTTCTTTATTGTAATTATATTGATAAGTATGTTAAATATAAGTTCTCCTTATATATATGTATTTTTAAAAACTCTTTCATGATAGACCTTAAGCTTGTTCAAAATTAATAATAAATGCAAAAAAAATAATCCAAATAAAGCTTTTTCTAATTAAAAATTTGGAATATTTTTTAAATATAGAAAAAAATTAATTATTAAGATAATTCAGAACATGTTACAATGTTTTTAGAAGAAGATTTGGAAAAATATTTCGCAAAAGAAGTAATGGGTCAAACAAGAAGAAAGAGCATTATAATTTAAATCTACAACAGAACATGCGCAAAATTTAATTATTACTGTAAAGAATATTATGTGTCTAGGTGAAAAATATGACTCTTCATTTCTAACAAATGAGCAAGTATATTCTTTTGATTCTTTATACACAGTATATGATAGTTCATCATGTAGAAACATGTGCTAATGCACTAATATTTCTTGCAGTGACAATGTATTGAGTTAATTTACATAAAATGAATTCATTACTTATGGATATGAATAAATTATTAATAATTAATAATATCATAATTACATAATGTACAAGTGCATGTTATACTATTGTATTATATGTACTTTTATATTTCTCATTTTACACACAAGTATATCACAATTACGAGGATCAATAAGTAATTATTTTTGTAAAAATAAAAATCAATAGAAATGATATATGTTGGTATATTGATGGATAATCCCATTATGCAAGAGAATCATAGAAACTATATAAGGGAGTTATAGAAGAGTAATATATAGGATATCAATCTGAATAAATTTTTTCATATAGATACACTATGTAGGGCATAAAAAAATTAAAAAATAATTATAATTTTAAATATGCAATAAATGCTAAAAAAAATTTACTATATTTCTTACATATGTATCTGTAGAAAAAAAATAAATTAATCTGTCCATTATATCATGTTTCATACTAAATGTTATTTTCCTTACTAGTATCTCAAAAAAACAATATTAACACTATATACAACCACTGAATAATATATTTAATCTTTTTGTTGTATATAGCAATATGAATTAGCTTTATTTTATAATATAAAAATAATTAACTAATGTTCTTCGCATATACATGAACAATAGAAGATTTAGTTATAACAGTTATAATATTAATCCTTAAGTAATCCTGAGTCCATAGACAATTATTTTTATTCATTAATCTAAATTTATTATCAGAATAAAACATAAAAATAAAGGAAAATATAAAACAAAAAAAATTTAAATTGAAAGTCTTGTATACTAGGAATATAAATAAACCGCAGATATATTGTAATGTAGTTGGATTAATTCTGTATTAATCATATATATTGATGTTTCCTATAAATTTTCCCAAATGAACTATCGTGTTCCAATTCATTTCATAAATAATTATCTTATCTTAATATATTTAAACGGCACATATAAATTTATAATGTAAATACTTTTTATTTTATTTCTTAAATTTTTAATTAACCTTAGCTCTTTTAAAAAACCTTTAAAAACATTCCTACGATCACGTTCTCATGCTTTAAAAGCAACATAAATTATTTAGAAAATATTCTAGTGCATAAACATAACTCTTACTATTTTATTCATATTATTGTCTTTATTTATATTGTATATATAACATAAACAATATTTAAAATTAATAATTTATATAAATTTTAACGTTTTCTATAGCACTGTAAAATGAAAAAATTTTATGTGAAATCTCCTTGACTTAATAAATTTTTCCAATCTCTTATGCTTTTCATTCATATTGAACATGTATTTCAACAATTATTAAACTTTTATTGCATTACACTTAACTTTTATATTACTAAATTTCACGTGTCTCTATATACCGTTTTACTCTTTCTTTACACATAATAAGAATTATCTCTAAATTTCTCTTATAATGTTAACTTTAAACAAGTATTTTCAATATTCTTAAAAGTGTAATTAAAGAGAACACTCTTTTGTGGCCTAATATGCCAAATATAACGAGTTCTTTTGGTAATCATCAAACTGTCCTGTTGAGCAATATTCTACTACTTCATCTGCATATATTTCGTTTAGGCTGTATATAATTTTTTTCTCTTTTAATTTTTCATTGTAAATCTTTGATCCAAATGTTGTAGACTAATATAATAATAAAAAATAATAATGTATATATAATATATGCTTATTCATAAATTATAAAATTAACAAAAGTACATTTTCTTAATATCCTAAAATATTTATACACTAAGATAGAATTTTTAATTACTCTATAGTAAGTGTACAAAAATATGTATGTTCCCACTGTTGCTACAATCAAAATGGTGAAACGGGATAAATTTGAGTTCAACATATTAAACATATTTCCTGTCATACGAGCAGGGGTATTTTCAGTAGATTTATTATGCGAACTTAATGAACGTGTTAGTTCATCTAAATTTACTTCGATGTCTTGTGTATGTGTACTTATAGAAGTATCTTGTAATGTCCCTCCTTCAACATTAATCTCTAGAGAATTAAATGTATTTAATCTATCAATTTCCTGTTGTAATTGAGTTAAGAGATATTTTGGGTTAAATTCACTTTTACACACAAAATATGATTGGCAATCTTGATCTACTTCTCCACCCCAACAACAATCAGGACCATATTCATCAATATACTTTTGATATATTTTATAAATATAATTAACATAATTGTAAAAAGTTTGGCATTTATTCTTGTCATTACTCTTACAATCAATATTACTATAATTTTTAAAGTAATCATGAAGATCTTTGGTTTCTTTTAAATCATTTACTTCATAATGAGGATAACATGCACATGGTTTTCTTTTTAAAACTTTATCATTAATCTCTTTTACTGCATTAAAAAGTTTTACAGAAATACCCGTACTGTTTATATATTTACCTTCACCATTAAATCTTCTCCTTATCTGATCATAAAACCAATGCTGAAAATAATAACATCTCTCAGTCCAAGTTGATGTATTATCTATATTTTGTAATTCTCTTAAAATATGTTCTACCTTCCTACAAAATTTCAAAGCCTCTGCTTCGTTAATTCCGTGATTATTACATATGACAGTTTCATCACTTATATTCGCGTAATTATTAAATTCTTTATACTTAACATATCCTGGTAAACCTGGTAGTACATCCTCCTACATGTTAATAAGCAAAGAATAATTATATGTAAAATTATATGCATTCTCTATATACGTAATTTTCTATTTCGTGTAAGATTAAAATAAGCACTCGCAAAACAATATATATACAATGTATTTGTAGTAAGAATTTATTCTACCCATTCTGTTTGTCCTTCATTTGCCATCCTATTTTATCTTATATCAAGTAACTATACGTATATAATGCAAAAATATGTGCATTTAAAATAAAAGATAACGAAAATCATAAATATACAGAAACATGTTATACGAAAATATTTATAAAACTAAAAATGTATAAAAAAAATTTAATACTTAAGACATTTCTTTTATTTCAATATTAATTTCTAGTATAATGTCATTATCGCAGGAATGATAATGTTTAAAAATTGTGTATAAAGGTTTAATGTAATATTAAACTTAAGTACAAAATATCGCTGTATAGAACATGATAAAATATTATTCATATATATGTTTTACATGATTCTATAAAAAATTCATATGATTAAAAAAGTTAATAACATTTAAATATATAACATGCTTCACGTTAAACATTTGAACAACAATTTTAATTTTCTCTTTTATAATTTTTTTATAGAAATGTATTGTCGCATATAATTATAGAATATATATTTAATAAAGAATATTAAAATTGCATTTTTTAAATTGCAATAAACATATCTCTAATAATTATAAGCTATTTTTTTCTTTTATTATATGATAAATAAGGTTTTTTCTTTTTATAAGCTTATAGCATTATGAATATTGCTAAAACAAGTACAAACATCTCCAGAGATAATTGTATTGATTTATTAACCATAAACTGCTTTTATACATATTCTATTTTTTTTGAGAAAAATGTGTTAATTAATAAATCTTGAGTTAAGTTTAATTTATTTTATAGACTGTATTTTATATTCCATTGTGGAGAATTTTTTTTTCTGTTATAATAAAAACTTGTATCAATTGTTTATAGATATTCCTATAAATTTTTCACATAATGGTTATTTCAAGATAAGAGCAAAGTTATAAATATTATATATTAATTTTTTAGACATAATAAGAATAAAGAAAATTATTTTATCATATTTTTTAATAATACATTTGAATATTGATTATATGTTTATCAGAACACAAGTTACAACGTGACCATATTTTAATATAAATATATATATAAAATATATAAAGAACAATTCTTTATCTATGTCTAATTCTATTTATTTAATATAAATTCTAAATACTCCTTTTATAGGATATTATTTCCATTGATTGTTTTATATTTGTCGCACTTTAGACATATATTTAATTATAAATGTTAACCAAATATCACATCCTTGAAAACTTTAAAAATAATAAATACAGTTAATAGTAAAATGTATAGAATGAATTCATGCTTATTTACTAAAATAACATAAGCATAATTCATTTTATGCTATCATGTTGAACGATTTAATGATATATAATTAAAAGTATAAATATATTTATTTCCAATCATTAAAAAACTCCTAACAATTGTGTACTTTCTTTTATATATTTCCAACAAAAATTTAATGTATATATGTATAATTTCTCTAATAAAAATATTCAATTAACAGTAAATTTTTAAATCAATGTCTATGATTATCGAGTGTAGCTGTTATATGTCACACCTAAAAATGCTAAAATTCATACTATAAGCGTATAATAAAATAAAACCATTCGAAGGATTTGCAAATATAACTTTATTTAAAATCCTTGTAAGAGGCCTTAAAACACTTGTTAATATTCCATGGATTGTGTTGTATTTTATTTATTTTTTTCTTTTCATTTACTCTTTAAAGTAAAAATATATATATATATATAACAGTTTAAAAGTAATTTCTTGGTATTAAATGTGTTTAGGAATGTGTAAGTATTTAATGAAGAAAAAAAATATTAAGGCATAATAAAGACATACATTTCACTGATGAATTTGTTTTTTATGATATATCTATTGAATTTTTTCTTTTTTCATTAAATAATTTGGCACAGTACTTTAAATTTTGAAATACTTTTACATTAGAAATAAAAAATAGGTTTTATAAACATCTTGTAATTTATTAGTAAAAATTTGGGTATAAATATATAACAGAGTGAAAAAAATAATAATATTAACATAGTACTTTTTTTGTTTGTGTTTTATTTTCTCATGAATATAGATTCTTAATGAAAATTGCTTTTACTTATCTACTTTTATGCCTGATTGAAATTTTTGTTTTAATTTTAAACGCCAAATTATTTCATAAATATATATATTGTGTCCTCATGTCTATTATGGCGTATATGCATTTTCGTAACAACTTTGTTGATATTACATATGGTTATATTTTTCCGTTATGCAAAGTATAATGATTACAAGAAGAGTTTAAGTTTATAAAAGCAATTATCTTATTCCATATTTTTTTTTGGAATGATTAGACACAAATTGCTATACTATAAAATGGTAGAACTTTATAATTTTAAACCTTGTACGTATGTATTTGTGTATTCAAAATAAAATTTAAATGTGTTACACTGCATATAACTTATATACATTTTTAAGATTTTAAATATATTTTTTCGATATTATAAATATGAAAAAAAATAATTATCATTTTATAAAACTAAGGTATTTTCTGGAATTTTATGTAAAGTATCAAAGTTCTAAAAAATTCATGTCATAAATTTTTCATTTTTATTTCTTTGTGTAATCACGTTTAAATGTGAAATTTATAAATTAGCTTTTTTTCATATAATGAATAATAAAATCCTGTACTATGCTGCGATGCCTCTTTTTTGATACAAATTTCACACTAATTTGCTAACATTATGGCTATAATTAAAAAAATTCTATTAACAGCTGTTCTATTCCAGATAATAATAAATCATATGTATTTTGTATGTTGTTGTTTTTAATAACGATTACTTGTTATTTAAATTGTACTTTTATATGATCATTAATTACTAATATATTTCGTCATGTTGCCCATTACTGAAATTTTTAACAATAATTGTATACAATTTTTGAACTATGCACATTATAGCTTCAACATCATAAGAATTTTACCTATGGAATACCTTTATTGCTTTTTATAATAATAAATAATTATAGATTAAAATTTTAAAAAAAGGAAAAATATTAAATGTTTATTATATACGAACTGTTTTGTTGTGTAAAAGAATAATGTTCAAAAAATATTTTTAAATAATAATTCAACTAAAAGAAATAATGTAGTGAAATATTACTTTTCATTTTCTTCTTCAGTTGTTATTTTTTTGTAAATTCTTTACAAATTATATACTATTTACATTTATATGTTAATTTCTTTCCTTAAATGCTTAATTTTTTTTAAGCTTTTTTTACAATATAGTATAACATTTTTATAACCCTTTAATAGTTAACACTGTAATATTTACATTTAATTTCTACACAGGCATTATACAAATGATATAATATACATTTACCTGTATAATATAAGTATTAATAAAAATTGGATTTATATTATACTTAATATTTTTATTTTTTAGTCTTCCGTAATTATTATTTAAGGAATGTTTATATATATTATTAAGAATTATATGCTATTTGAATTCTTTTCTTTTTATAATATGTATTCTTGGTTTTTGAAGCACTAAATGGATGATTTTTTATGTGGACTCCATAAACACTATAGTCATTTACTGTTTCCTTTGATACTCTCTTACGTATCCATGATCCAAACGGTGTAAACTAAGGTAGATAGAAAATTACATATAGCACAAATTTTATATGAGAACCCATAATTATAGTATTCTATGTTTAATTTAATACATATTGTATTATATGAAAGTCAATTCTAAAAGAAAATCTTTATTTACTTTAAAATAAATAAAAAATACAAAAAATGTTCCAGCAACTAAGTAAGGCAAGTATCACAAAAATTCGGAATGTGATGTATGAGACGATGTTAAGCTTTCCTTCTAAAGAAGTTTTAATGTCCTTATTTGTAAACTTGAAATCTTCATTAGATGATACAGAATTGGGTTGTGTACTTATTTCAGAAATTTCTACTTTTAATTCCTTCATATTTATTGGGTTCCTCCTATCTGTTGTAGACTTTGAGTTACCTTCATCTATAACTTCGAAGTAGTCCTTAAGTTTTTCCTTTGAAAATTCATGAAACACAGTTGTTAAAAACATGTCTTTCATCTTACTATAAATATGATCCGTCTGGTCTTTTTCATCTTCATGTCTGAACTCCGATACCTGTCGTTTTCCCTTTAATTGTGTAACTCCAGGATACATATTGTCGGTATTATCATAGCTTTTTATAATTGGGTACAATTCATCATTTTTTTGAATATTCATTTTTACATAATTATTTTTCCTAGTATTTGTTTTTGCAGATACAACGGATCCACTGTTTGAAATAGAATGGATATTGTTATTATCACCTTGATTTGAAACACTTGTACTTAATGACATGGGTTTTTTAGGATTATTGCAAACTACTATTTTATTATTATAAAAATCATTATCCTCTTTACATGTTAAATTTTTAATTTCCTTCATGACATTAGAAACAGACACACTGGATATAGGAATATTAGATGTAATTTTTTTTTTAGTACTTCTTCTGCTGTACACTCTTTCTCTGTGTCGATGATATGCTGAATCTTCGCATTTATAACCAAAAAATTTATCTTCATGATCGTATACTTCATAGCAACTCATATATTTAATTATCATTTCCATGTCTTCCTTAGACTTATTTGAATTCATTGATTCCCTACTGCTTACTGTTAGAACTCTATTATTTTCTAATTCCCCATATCCTAGAATGTTATATTTTAATGTTGATAAAAGATCATTAGGATTATATATAGGATTATGTCTGAAATAATGACATACCTTCCACATGCAATCCTTCCTATGTTCGTCATATATAGATGCAATATAATTAAGATACTTAATACACGTTTCATTTTTCTCCTTTGGACACGATTTAATTTTATTGTAATTTTTAAAATATTCATTCAAATATTTCTCCTCATTAGACCATTTGAAGTCAAAATCAGAGTTATAGAATAAATATTTATTATTCAGTTCATAGTAGCTCTCGTTTCCTATATCAATAATTTTATCAATAATATTTCTAGTATCCTTATCCGAATTACTTGTAAAAAGTTTACTTAATTCATGAATTAACCAGTAAGCCAAATAAGATGCATTAAGATTATGCTTTTCTATTTCACTCTGCGAGTTGGGCAATTTATTTATATTTTTTAGAAGTAACATACAAAGGTTTTTAATATTTTGTTCATTAATTCGTAATTTTGTACAATTGTCGTCGTATATATTAGAGTTCTCTGTGTTGCCAAAATTTTTATATATATCACCTATAGATAATATATTAAAAATAGTTTCCTGAAATTTAAATAGAATGAATTATATAAATACTAAAATGTGTATTCTTCAGAAAGGTATTTTCCATTTTGTTTGATAAGTTATAGACCATTTATAATGAAGCATTTCATTTATATAATTTTAAAAAAATTATTTTATTTTACCAATTCGTTTTTTCCTAAAGGTTCCATTTTATTATATTCAGTCAAATCAATTGAAATTTGTATTGTTAGCTTTACACCGTAATAACTGCATCTCAAATCAGAGTGTAGTGGAAACTAATACATTGATATACTATTAAAATATAATGAACGTTTAGTATAAAAATTACAATTACAAATATAGTATGATCTATATATATTTCACATATGAATATATATATTAAAAATAATAATTATTATTTTCTTTAATATTCAAATCGGAAAATATAATTAAGTCTCAAAATGATAAGTATTTGTAATTTATGATTCTTATAATAAAAATGTTCATCTTTGACATGATTTAACGTTAATATTCATTTTACGACAAAATAAAAATATCATTGATAGAAAAATTATATTATCAGTTTTCCTAATATGATTGTTTTTGGTTTTATTAGTATAATTTCATGAGCATGATTCCTAAATAAAAGGAAAAATTACATAGATTAATGGCTGATTATAAATACAAATATCCAATATTTTTTTGCAATATTAAGTAGGATATTCAAGATTATCATAGTAAATATAAAAATCATTTTAAAATAATTTTCATTCATTTATGTCATATGTAGTAGAACAGTAATTAAATTTATTTTTTTCGAATCCTTATTTACTTTTACTGTGGGTTATATTATAAAACTATATAAAATAGTTGTATGTGTTCTTACTTAAATGTGCGTGCAAACTTGGTTGAAATATTAATATAAAATGGGTTCCTAGAATCAGTGTATAAGAAAATCAAATAGAAATATAAAAGGCGATCTATCTGAAAAAAAGAAAAGAATTTCATGACATTCATAATAAATTTGATAATTTAAAATGTTGCAAAATAAACATTTGGCGCTACATTATGAGCTTATATGAACTTTTCTCTTACTATAATAGAAAAAAATGTAAAAATTATCCTTAGGTTTATGGTAATAAACTTTGTTGCTGATTTAATAGTTTTATGATAGAACAAATCATTATATGTTAACTTATGTTGCAAATGCATCAAATTTTTATACTAAATGGATCTTGATTTTTTATTTATTATTTTATTAGCAAATGCTATTACATTATTAATATATTACATTTTTTTTTCTTTGTATAAACTAAATAACAGTTACATTATGTATATCAATATTATATTTCATATTATATATTTTCAAATAAATTATAATTTCGTAAAGTTGAATTTGTAAACGGTTCTTTTGTAATTTTTATATTAGATTGTGTTATATGATTATACATATTGTGTAATTTGGTTACGTGTCCAAAAATTGACATATAAAACTATACCAAAGAAAATATATTACACTTACTTTATTTCTAAAATACAATTTAATTTACTCCAAGGTAACATATCAGGAAGGATATTATTATGCAAAAATATTGAAGTTCAATTAAATTATAAATTAAGGATAAAATTGCACATGTATGATAAATTAATTAAAATAAATTAGCATACGAGATAATAACAGTTAAAAAGTAAAGTAAAAATGTATAAAGAAAGTATTAATTTAAAAATATAGAGTAAGAGGTTATAATATATAGTTATAAATAAAAGAAGGTATATTTTAAAAATATATAATACTAATGTATTATTTTGTTAAAGAATAAATGTTCTACTGTTTTTAACATTATATAATTTACTTTTTTGCGCTTATAGATTATGCTTAAATTTGAGATATTATTTTTTTCTGTGATTTTTTTAGTATTTATTTTAACATTTATTAAAAATATATTTTATTGAGATTAATTTTCAAACACGAATTAAAAGTTTTATTTTGAATGTATTTTTATTTTTCAATATTATGTAATAATTGTAAAATTAGAGTTAATAATTATTGGTGATATTACATAGAATAAATATATCTCTTAATATTATTAAATGTATTTAATAAAGAAGCAATTATTTATTGTACTTCGTATAATTGAAGATCTAATGAGATATAAATTTACACTTAAGTGAAAAATATCACATATAAGCATATATATATTCACGCAAACTACACACAAAAAAAACAAAAATTAAAAAAAATTTATTTTATATTACATTAAATTTTTAAATATTTCATTTATAATCATTCGCATACCTTATATTTTCTTAAATTTATTATTCTAATAAATGTATACTATTCTGTAATTCAACTGTTTTTTATTTTCACATTTCGTTAACATAATTAAGATTAAATAATAATGTAACTCTCATAAATAGTGTTATGGTGAACTCGCAATAACTATACTATAAATTTAAAAGACTACACATTGTGATAATCTATATGTACCCTTTTGTTATGTGATTTTAATTTTTGATATTTTTTAGTATGCTTTGTGTCTTTGTTGTATATATTTTTTTTTTCTCTCATCTTCCTGCATATCTATGTACCAAATGGAATACACAATAAATCATATGAAAAAAACATATATGATGCATCCATATTCCATTAATTAATTCTTAAGAAATATTAAATATTATATATATTGTGATTATATTGTAAGGTAAATTATCGCCTTACTTTGTAATATAAGAAAAAAACGAGAAATGTTCCAAGTGTTAGGATAACTGTTGTACGAATTTTAGCATAAACGGTTCTTAGAACATGGTCTATGGTTTTTTCTGTATCATAAAAATGATTTATTCTCATAACTCTAATGTTATTTTCGTTTATATTACTTTTAGAATCTAATGTTTCCTCATTTTAACCTTTTATTTGAGAGTCTTCGCTGCTTGGCAAATTCCACTCCACGAACATTTGTTTTCCAGAATTAGACAATTTTTCATTGCATGAATAAACAGTTACTTCTTTATAGGTTTCTCCTTTTGTAATTACATAATAACACTGTATATATCTACTCTCCATTTAATTCGCCTTGTTTTCAATATCCTTATGTGACATAAAATATTTCAAATAACAAATTCTTATTATATGCTTCCTTTTTACAGAATCTTAAATACTTTTAAGTTTAGATTTTATAAAATTCAATGATTCCATCGCATTTTCTACATTTCTATTACTTCCACAATTTAATTTTAATTATAATTAACTGGATGATACTGATTTCCAGTATTAAAGTAATCACATCTTTCTCAGCCGTATTTATAATAACTGTAAAATATTTCATTTATTGAATGCTTTTAGTATAGTTTTTTAATTTATTTAATGTATATACATAATTATTAGTTTTATTATGAACAGAATGGATCTTACTATATGGAGTCTCATAATTTTGAATATAATTGTATAAATCTTTTTCATCTCTTCATTCATCAAATTTATCTCCTTAATAAAGATATATATAATGAAGATTTTTTATTTATGTAAAATTATATTCATTAAGGAATTAAAATAAATATGATCATATACATTATGTACTTTTTGATTAACATTTTTAATTAGCTTTTTTATTTCATTGTGCAACCAGTTAATAAAATGTGTAAAAGAAATTATCCTTGCTTCAATACTTTCCAAATCAACAATTTTCTTAAAATTTATAGCATATATTGTATAAAACTCCATTAATTTTTCATTAGGGATGAATTTTCTATATGCAACATTATATTATTTATCATAATCAGATATTTTTATAGTGATATTAAAATCATTATAAATTTTATATGAAGGTAAGTCATTTAATATATCACCATAAAGCTAATACAAGGGAAGGAAATTATTATGGAAGTATCAAAATATCTGCATTATTGCGTAATATATTATTGTTCTTGGCACTAAATATAATGTAAACAAGGATTCTTATAAAAAGGAAATTACACAGTTTCTTCCGCATCAGTGGGCTCCATTAACTTTACGCTTATATCAATTTAAAAAAAAATAACAAGACATGTAGAATTATTAGTGATAACACATCAAAAGTAAGGCTATAATTATTTTATATGTTGTTCATCATTGTCTTAAATGTGTATTTATATTTATTGATATACCATGTATATTTATTCTATAAAAAAAATTAATTTCATATGGTAAAACAAATGTTATATAAAAAAAAATAAAAAGCAGATGAAAATTTAAACTATCGCATTACACAAAAAACATAATATTATGAAGAAAAACAATAGTATATATATGAAAGGATTATAACGAATGACATAATGATTATAAATATAACCCTCACCACAAAAATCCACTTATCATATGATCAAATACAAATTAATATTTTATTAACATATATGCTTATTATAACATTCCCATATGAACTTTTTTTGCAATAAAGTGTATTTAAAAAAAAAAAAATTTTCATATTTCCAAAGTTATTTAATTTTATCTGTGGAAAAATTTGTGTTCCAAAAAATATAAAGATTTTCCTTAGGAATAACTAATATAATGCATATTTATTTCATTTACAATATAGATTACTATTATATGATAAAAAATATATATATAATATTGACAAATAAATATCATTTTAATAAATAAAAATAAATATATTTTTTGAACGTTTTTTCGTCATTTATTGTATTATGAGTAATAAAATCATATAATTCTTACAAATTTAGCTTGCTCTTACCAGTTTATACGGCTTTTTCTAAATATTTATTCCTGATTTCTTATAATATATTTCACTACTACTTTTATAAAGCAACATTGATAAAATAAGAACTATAATTAATAAAATAAAATGTTCTGAAGCTATTTAATATGAATTAAGGCAACATATAAAAATACGTTTTAATGAAACTGTAAAAGTGGTGCTATAATGATACGTATATTCTTTGATATAAATGAATTGTATCACCGTATTTTATAAAAAATATATCGGAACTAAGAATTTATTATATAACAAATTCCTAAATTGTGTTTATAATATTTCCTATTTTTATCTTTTCTAAATTAAAATGATTATTATTCATTATGACAATTATTTTTTCATGCTCTACATTATATGTATAAATATAATGTTTACAGAAAAAATACAAATTTAATAAAATATTTTATTTTTTTCCTTGTATTATTTTTTTTCGAAAACATATATTCATATATGAGTAATAATAATAAATAACTTTCCATTTCATAATTCTTTTACTTTAGTTGTATCCATTATAATGTAAAATGTTTGCTTACAATAACGCAAGATCGTTTAAAAATCAATTTTTTTTGACTTAGCTCTATGAAGAATAATTCTTTCTAATTTATTAGTTTCTTTTTTTAAATAATGTAAAATGTTTTACGTTAAAACACCAATAAAATCACCATATTGTATGCCTCGAAATAAAATTATTTATTTACCAAATTATTTTATTAATATATTGTCCCTTCAGATAAATATATACTCAAAACTATAATAATGTATACGCTTTTTATTATATTTATATTCCATAACGATACATAAATTATTTGATTATTGCTAATTATTTTGTGTTTATCACGCTATATATATATTGTAATAATAAAAACTATTAAAATTTATTACATATATTTTTTTCATTAATAAAATATAATATTAACTACATACACTTACATACAAATGGTACATAATTGGGCACATTATATATATTCAAAATATATTCCAATTAAAATTATGTTAATATTACTCATATATATTTATTTAATTTTTGCTTAAAATGTTTTTTCTTCTACTTCAATATATTTAATTCAGATTTAAAAGGAATATAAAAAGTTTTATAGGAAAAATAATTGAATTAAATATAAATGCGCATAATAAACATATAAGCTTATTTTTTGCTATCGTAAAAAATTATTTGATTCTTAATATAAATACCATATGAATAAATAAGTATATATATATTATTCTACCTTTTTTAAAAAATCTATGTATTTATATATTCAACTTAACATATAGCATTTCTACAGTGCTGCATATTTATTCTATTTAAAAAAATATATAATTGAAGGTTACTTTTTTTCTAATTAAAAAATGTATTTTTTCTTAATGCTTAAATAGCCATTTTTCTACAGTAATATATATTGTAAACTACACGTGTTGACATAAAAATGCTGGTTATTCATAGAACATGTAAAATGATTACATAATGTACTTCAGGTGAAATCAGGTACATTTCACATAAAGAAGAAAATGTACAAATGAAAAAAAGTTTATATGTTTTTAAAAAAATAAGTATCATGATTAACTTTTTAGCATGTTAATATATCAAAAAAATATGACAATGGTTATGCAATTATACATAATTTGTGAAATCATAGAGTGAACATAATAGATTAATTCGCAATAACTTATAACATAAAAATTAGTCTAATATTTTATATGTAATATAATGTGTATATGTCGTAAGACTGTTGAATAAAATTAATGATTTTATATTGATATGGTTATAATTATAACAAAAAATTAAATTAAATTTAAAATATCAACAATAATAATTTTATAAATAAATCAGATGTAAATTACATATTGTAGTTATTATAAAAGATATCAACGTTGTAGTAAAATATAAATTATATATAAGTAGTAGTAAAATCTCTTTTCCATAATATACAACTTGATATTTTATATACTCATTTATAATGTAAAGGTTGAATTAACTTATTATCTTATTATTTAAAATGTTCCCCTATTTATACATTTTGTAATGCATAAATGTTTTAAATTGTGATGAATAATTAAAATAAAACATTTTATAATATACAATATATTGTATATTTTGTAATAAAAAAATATATGTATATATAATTCTTCAAAATTATTATGTGAATATTATTAATTTTAATATGCGAAGAAAAGCACATGTATTCAAGCGTATTAGGATTTTCTGAACATTTGAGAATTAAGTGACTTATATTTTTTTCAGTTATTTCTCATAAAACATAATATTAATGTAATTATATTTTTCGATGTGCATAAATGTATCATTTAATAACTAGTATATATTAAAAATTCTTAACTTCATATTGTTGTAGTAAGAGTATATAATGTTTTAGAATATTTTGACTAATCACTTATTGCTGTTAGGTATATCAAAACATATAATTTTTTGTATTTCTTTCGATAGAAGAATGTGATAAATAAATTTTTCATTTCAAAATGTTTCTATATATTCTTTTATCAAAAACATTTGCGAATATTACTTGATCAATTCATACAACATTTTATTCATCATAATGTAATTATGTTTGTTAAAAATGGAGTCATATCAGATGCTTAATATAAAAAAATTATGTACTAAATTTGAACTCTTGGTATAACCATTTTTAAAATAATTGTTAATTTATATTTATGTTATTATCAACTTTTATGCATGGTTGCCTTATCTCTAAGATACAATAAAATGGGTTATTATTACAATTTTGTAATTTTATATTGTATAAAACATATATTATTATATT